CCCACATCAGTTTTCCATGGGGAATAAAAAAGTCAAAGAGACTTTCCCACAGGTCAATCTGGTAAAGGCATTTTCCTCAATTGAGATTTCTGCTTCCCAAATGATTCTAGCCTGTGTCAAATTAACCTAAAAGCAGCCAGCACAGGGATTTGAATCCTGGGGATGCTAAGATTTTGTTCTGAAAGCAAGTAGAATATTTTTGTACCCCTTTCTCCCTCTAGTCCTCAGTAGCCTGGAGCCATCAGGATGAGATCCAAAATTGCAGGAAGCCCCCCGGGGTCTGAGGGTAGAGAGTCAGAAATGAGTGAGAAGACCATGACTTCTGGGCTGGGTCTTGGGTTTCTGCATCCTGAGCCTGTGTGCCAACACCTTGTCTGGGAACAGACTGGAACCATGTACTGCTCAAAGGAGCTACTACCATTTAAATCACCTTGTAGGATGCTGAATCATGCCACCCAGGGACCAGGCCACTCCTCTGTTTAAGGTTCACTGTATAGCAAGTTGCCCAATGTTTGTTCGTCCTGCAAAGCACATGGTGACAGCACGCGTGAGCATCAAAATAAAATTCTATCTGATTCCATTATCTCAGCAGGATAATTTCCATTGTTCACATGTTCCTTTACAACTCTACATGCTCCTGGCCTTTCATGACCTGAATTGTAACAGAGAGCATTTTATAAACTTAACATGGTCTTATACTCCACATGTTTACCTATTATACTAACGACTGTATAATATATTGTATTTAGACTGGTCTTGAGCTGGGGAGCTCAAGGAGGCCTCCTCTTTTGGCATTCTAGTTGCTGGGATTGCAGGCTTGTGTTCCGGTGCCCAGCTACAGTGTATTGCATGACAATCACAAATCTAGTCTTAACTGTTGGAACTGAGGGTTCTTACATTGAAAAGCTGATTAACTGTACTGGTTTTTGGGAACACGAGCATGTGCTGGAAACATTAAACCCTCTTTCACAATAAATGCAGACATTTCCCGCATCTCTCCTGCTGAGGTCTGTGTTTACACGGGCTTAGTGTAAGGGAATATTTCCAGTGTACTGGACGTCGGGACGCAAGGAGGGCTGGTGGCTTGCAGAGTTGAGAGAAAGTGACGGGGTGACGTGGCTGAAGTCTCCAAGAAGCTTGAGTAAGGAGTGCAGCTTGGAGAGTTCTGAATTCTCCGTCCAGCTTCAGAGGGGTTTAGGTTGTGAAGGGGAGGTGTGGAGTCGGCGGAGATAGAAGGTACAAATGCCATCTGAGGGGTCAGCGGCTCTCTTTCTCAACTGGAGGCAATCTTTATTTAAACAGCGTAATGATGACATAAGCCATTAGGCAAGCGTCAGGTCACGTCATCTCTGATTCCAACAAAGGGTGGTTCCAGCTGACAGAGCCCTGGGTCCCCTTTTCACTTCCTCATTAAGAGTCCAGGGTGAAAGTATAAAGGACAGAACAGTCTTACCTGAGTCATCTTTGGACAGCGCCTGTCAAACAGGAAGTCAGCAGTTTCTAAAGCATAGTCCTCCTTTCACAGTTCAAGTGGTTACAATGTGTTCATCTGAAACCTTTTCACCTTAACCAAGCTACATGTAGAACATTTACTGTCTTTTAAAATGCAAGCCTTACAAAATGTCTTACAGTAAGTGTTTAACTGGCTCTTTATAATATTTTTCTGTTCCTTAGTTTCACCATAGAGGCCTGCTCTTGTCATAGTCTCCCAGAAAGGAATTCTTTTTCTATTAACCCACTCCATTCTCACTGCCTCTCTTTGGCTCCAGTATAGGGCAACAGTGTATCCAGATCAGGAAAATGAGCAACTGAGCTTTTCCCTGTTGCAGCAATCCTTACCCTGCCATCCATCTGAAAAGCTACAAACCCTAAGTAAGGGGGGTTTATAGTGGGAACAGGTGTGTGGGGGCCCACAAGTCTATGGTGATCTTTCTGACCTAACTCCACAGAAGAGGATACACTTGTGACATTTTATATGCAGAATTGAGCAAGAAATTTCTCAGACCCTACCCTATCGGTACCACAATCCTTGGCACATAAGGAAGACTCTTGCTTCTGTGACTGCTTTCAGGCCATGACCCCTGACTTCAAAGTTTCCCGGAACATGAATATATTTCCCTGGAACATGAATATAGTTCCCCAGGGTCTGTATAAGCACCAAACTCCCCATCATGCAAACAACAGCTTCTAAAAACAAAAGCGACAGATTTTCAAGTTCAGAAGCAACTGCAAACAAACAAATGTTCCTAAAAGGGGGAGCAGGCCGGTGACTGAATCTCTCAGTGAAGTTTCCCTGGAATTTCGTTAACCAGCATCCTCCGCCTCATGACTAGAGCTGTCCCTTGTGCCATGACCTGCACCGGAGTCATTGGCAGGTGACCAACCATCTCCATGTGCTTGGAACTGAGAGTTTTCTCAAATCTTAAGACTTTAGGGACCGAAGCAGGCAAGTTTAGTGTAAGTTGGGATGAATTGGTAACTGTGGACTTTAGTTAGACTGTAACCTCTCTTCAGTGGAGAGGAAGTGAAAGGACCCAGAAGGGAATACATGAGTAATTTAAATGTAAGCCAGCATCATGTCATGAAAAGCTCACTTCAGTGAAAAGCAGCTCAAGCAATGCAATGAGGTCTCACCTTATATATGGGAGCCAAAGTAGATACGTATCTGCACTGGTGTTCCGCTTACAGGAAAAGGAAAGTACGCCCATTCATTTAACAAATATGCAAGGAACACCAGTCCTCGCTCAGGCATTGGACAGTCCCTTTGCTCTTCTGGCATTTCTGTTATGTGCACCAATGCACATGCACGTGTATGGTATAAGTGGAAATAAACTACCAGGCTTGAGAAACCTCTTTTCAAGTTGTTGTTCAGGGATTCCAGGAGACGCCATAAAAACAAAAACAATGTAGGCGGTTGCATTGTTACTGGCTGCCTCCCAGATCTGAAGTCAAATCCATGTTGCTAAAGACACCACGTTGTTTGGACACAAGGAAGGAATAAAGCTGGGACTGACCTGGAAGCCTTCTCTTTGAGGACTGGCTCTAATGGCACCAAAAGGTGCTGTGGCCGCTACCAAGACAGAAAACTCAGCCAACAGTCCTATCCAGCTGTGACGCCCACACACTACAGCAATGACCAATATGACAAGGTATACCTAAAGGTGCAATAGTAACCAACACCTTTCTAGTAGGACATAAGGCCCACTCAGTAGGAGGCAATTCAGGTTTGATACTGAGAATCTGTCCAAATACCCGTTGCTGGGGAGGCTATTTACCCTAGAGGAGAATCTACTATTGCCACTTTACTAAACCAGTCAAACTTTTAGCTACACTCCAAATACTTACCCTTATATCCACAGGTAAGCTTAACCCTCACCTTGCATCAAGGAGGCTTCTCCTTGTAGCAGAGTCCATGACAGAAATCCACAACTAACCCTGATGCAGAGAACAACTGTGGGGGGTCCAGACCCAACTAATCGAGCCATAACAAAACTCTTACTCCAGAAGCTCGGGGAACATGAGGGCGAGGAGATGGAGCCAGATGCTTCAAGATCCTGTCTTCTATACTGCAGGCAAGTTCCACCCAGGAGAGCTCAGCAATATAGGAGCCTACATGCGACCTGAGCAATAACATCAGTTGACGAGCAAGCTTGGATGGGGAGACTATCACAAGGCCCCTCCTTTAGATGAAGGGATACAGGCAATTAACAGGTGCTGAGAGGGAGAGTCAGTCTTCCCCAGATAATTAATTAGTTTTCTAGTAACAAGTGGTCACCCCTAAAACATATACATATAAGCAAAACTAAATGGACTCAACAAGCTGTATTGACATTTCTATGTATGTATACACATAGCAATAACAATTAAAGGAAAAAGGGGAAAGGGTGCGGGTGGATCTGGGAGGAGGTTAAAAGGAAGAGTGGGGTAATGGGTAAATGTGATCAAAGGATGTTGTATGACATTCTCAAAGAAATGCTATATTAACATTAAAAAGAAATGGTAACAAGCAAACGGAGAACATGACCTTCATTAGGATTGGCTACGAAGACTGAAGTAGCAGGAAAAGGATGGATTAGTGGAAAGAGAACTTCCGGGGAAGGGGGCAGCTAACTCTTGGGCAGGGGCAGTCACTATGTGGCGTGGGGTGGTGCTATCATTTGAGGCAAAGTCTTTACAAGAGAGCCGCCCCATTCATATTCACAGGAAAGCCTTGCTGGGAGGAGCAGCTGTGAGAACCTAGCATCCACTTTCTCAAGGCAAATATCCTTCAGGCAAGACTTACTATAAGAGCCTGGGGCTGTTGCCTGAGGAGGGAACCAGGACCGGCTTTGCAGTGACGTGGCCCAAGTCCTGTTTTCACGACCAAGGAGTCGAGGACCTCAGGCTCATAGTCTTGCAGATAAATGGTCTCTAGATTCCTATCCACGCACTTTGGCTCACGGCTGCTGCTTAGCTTGGGGATCTCATTTCCTCCTCTTTTACAACTGAATAAATCAAGAGTCATCTACATTAGACCAGAAAAGTTGGCCGTGATATTGTATGTGGATGGGCGCAAAGACTAAAATATTAACCTTAGGGGAACAAGAGGGACTTTGAATTCCATATTAACCCTTGGTGGTAGGGTCCTCCCTCTAAGGTTCTGTACGACACGCTTCAAGAACCCCAGCAAAGAATGAACACCTTCTGCATCCTGCAATCGTGGGAAAGGAAACTGGTCTCAAGGCAGGTGGCTCCAAAAGACCTTTCACTTATCGCTCTGTTTGTGCAAATTCAGAACCTGGAGCACAAGTTGAGGTGATGACTGGTCCGACCAGTGTAGAAGACTCGGAGAAGACTCTAGGTGTGCAATGACAGCAAGGTAGAACAGCTTGATTTCGATAACTCAAGGAGTTAACATATCCAAAACCAACGCAGGAGTGGGGAGGAAAACCACACCCCACGGGAGTCGAGCCAACTCATAAGAGAAAAATCCTATTGGCACCAAGGAGGCAGGGAGCCAGCCCCTGGGCGCGGCCTGCAGGGGGCAGGCGATTGCCCAGGGAAGCCGGGGCAAGAAGAGGGCCGGCGTCCCAGCAGCTCCCGCTCCGCCGCGGCAACAGGGACAGCTCTGCGCCCGCCCGCCCGCCCGGTGCGCCCTCCTCGACCCGTGGACTCGCGCTGCTGCCCCGCCGCTGCCATGTGTGCGGCTCGGACGCCACCGCCGCTGGCGCACATCTTCCGAGGGACTTTCGTCCACTCCACCTGGACCTGCCCCATGGAGGTGCTTCGCGATCACCTCCTCGGCGTGAGCGACAGCGGCAAAGTGAGTGGGCACGGGGTCCGGGGCACCGCAGGCAGGTGGAGGGACTCTGGAGCGGTGCTGCTCATTCCGGTTCGCTCTGGCACAGAGCGAGCACTGTGGCTCTGGAGTTGAACTTGAACGTTTGGCTCTTAGGGAATGCAAACAGCCTGGTCACTAGGTTCATAGCCTGGTTAGGGTGGAATGACACCCCAGAGGCCAGGAGCTATGGAGTACTAGCAAAACATGGTAGGAACCCTCAGAAAATGTGATTGAATTCCTTGCACAGAGTGGGGGTGAGGGGCATCATTGGATTAGTGTTGTTTACTGAATTCAGAGGTAGAATAAACAAAAACACCCGACTTCATTCACATATTCATTTTTTAAAAAAAAATGCATTAATGCTGCAGGCTATACAAGTTTAATGCTGGGAAGGATAGAACTGGAAACATCTCTCAATCTCCCCGCTTCCTCCCTCCCCGCCCCACCACACACACAGCCATTTGCATTAAAACAATCGGTTTCATTTTAAAGTTGAAAATGCCTTCTACGATAATTGATCTTATATAGCCTCCCCTTAGGATTCCACAAGTGTTATATGATGTCTGGTGCCTTTTTCTTTGTTCATACAGATGGTAACTAAATATATTAGCAGTGTCTTGGTCAGTTTGATAAGTGAAGTCATTTCATTTGGGGGAAGAATGGGGTATTTGGGCTGTTTCTCAAAGTATACCAGTTTGTGGGCTGCCAGGTTGGAGACTATAGTGCCACTGAATCATTGACAGTATTGAATTATAACTTGTATTTGGGAATAACCAAATCTGATGGATATTCTTAAAAAATTGTTAACATTTTGTGTGTGTGTGTGTGTGTGTGTGTGTGTGTGTGTGTGTGCGTGTCTCTGTGTGTGCATGTGCCAAGTCCATGGGTGTTCAGAGAACAACCTGTGGGAACTGGTTCTCTCCTTCCTCTGTGTGCATTCCAGGGACTGAACTCAGATCCTCAGGCTTGGTGGCAAGCACTTTTACCTGCTAAAGTGACCCCATGGGCTCCAAAATATTGTTTTCTCATGGTCTTTGTTTTTTGTTGTTGTTGGTAGTGGTGGTGGTGTATGGGGAAGCTTGATGCTGTGTTTCCAAGGTGATAAAAAGTCTCAGAGCTCACCTAATGGAGACTCCAGTAAACCTGGGGACCTGCACATCCACGCCATGTATAGGAATCAAGACCCTCAATTTTAGTGAACTAACCTGGTGCAAACCCCAAGAAACCCAATGCAGACACCGGGAGACTGGTTTCAGAGAGGAGGTGCTAGTTTGAACACAGGAGCTTTTCAATTGATAGTTTTCTTTCTGGGATTAATCGCCTATTCCGTCAATTCTAATACTGTATCTGATGTGACAGCAGGTTTGGAGACATGATGGGAATAAGTAAGAAAAGGGTGTAAGCTATCGGAAAACTAATCTTTCCCTTGAGTTTATTCAGAAGAATAACAGCATCCTGAACATGCAATTAGTGGTTGAGTCAGAGAGCGTGTTCCTTTTGGAACATGCTGAGAGTCTCAGTGAGAGAGCGTGTTCCTCTTGGCGCATGCTGAGACTCCCAGTTTGGAGAGTGTGCCATTCCCGCAGGAGACAAAATTAACTAGGAATCAGCCACAGCGGCAAGCCAGTCAAGATTTGCAATTGAAAACCCCTTGCTGGTGGATTGTTAACTATTGGTCTCCCTCCTCCGTGCAAGTCAGTAAGTTAATTACCCCTTCCCCAGCCTTAAAGGGTAAGGTTTGGGTATCTATTTCAGTATTCCATCTCCCTCATGTTGAAGTAGGGAATGCCACACATTTAGGATTAGTAAGACAAGCTGCTTCTTTATATACTTATTATTTATATTATTTAACTATTCCAAGGCATATGGAAACTAGAATGTCCTTGAAGTGAGGAAGTGAATGCTTGGAACCATCAGGCTCGGGTGCCTCTGATTTGTAGTGAGCTCTTTAAGCTGATGCCAGGACACAGCTTGAGATGGATTGGGAGTATCTAGAAGGACTTGTGAAAATACTGGCTCCGAGATAGCCTCCTCAGAGAACCCAAATGCATAGGTCCAGGATCAGATTCTTGTAGGCATCTTCGGAGACTCAGGCAAGGCAGTGGGTGAATTCCAGTCTAAGTGATCCTGGGGGATCCATTGGGGGAAATGTTCAAAGCTCATATCACTTCAGGCCTAGGTCTCGGGCAGCATCTCAGGGAAGGGACAGTTTTCCTTGTCTTCTCTGTCCTAGGTCTAACTCCTCATTTCCTGTCTCTTGACTTAGGCTTGGAGGATGGTAATGACTATGTTTCATTCATTCAAGTACAGCATATTAAAAATGAGTTATTTTTTAAAAGAGCAAAACAAAAAAAATCCCTCTGTATCCAACATTTTTGGTATTATTTAGAATTCAGGGTTAATTTTTACACTTAAGCAGCATACAGCTTGTTTTTGCACTAAAGATTCCAAAATGTATAATTCATTTTCAAATGTTTCATTAATCTTGAAACACAGTGTGCTCAGATATTACTGTTTACCCAGTTCTTCCCACATACACCACGGTCAAGTTGACTCTAAAGAATTCATCAAGGTTGGAACTTTCAGTGAACGTTTTACACAGAAACCAGAGTGAGGAAGTGTGCCCACTGGGTGTTAGGAGCAAATTCTCTGTAGAAATAAAGCCCTGGGTGGGAGTGTTCGCCTGCTTTGAGACCATGAAATGAGACACTGAACATCTCCCAAGCCCCAGCTCCCTCCTTGGTAGACTCAGGCTTAAATCTGATACAGAAAGAGCGTATGTATGACAATGTTCACACTTAGTTGGTACTGTACTCAGATTGTGGTCGTTCGGGCCCCTTTCTTTTCTCCACCTCTAGTAAGCCCTAAGCCTGTTGCTCAGCTTTCCACATGGTAGCACCTGTGCAGTTACGTGGTAGAGAAGAAAGCTGAGGCCTGGGGTAAACCTCGCGGGATGAGGCACAGGTGCTGGATGGCAGCTGTGCATTTTTGTGATCTGATCGTGACGTCTGTCATTCGTGCATGGTGACATGAAGCTGTACCTGGGAAAGGTTTCAGGGTCCTTAGCTGCTCTGTCACTAGGACGGTATTGCCAGTGTTACTCCCACTACAGTCAAGAAGCTGGTTAGAGAAGCCAATCATCCACAGATGTGGCAGTGGGACCAGCTCTCAAAACATGGACCAAAGACCATGCTCTGTTTCCCTCAACAGTCTGCTTCCTTAAGGAACGACCCCTGAATTTAAAACTTACACTTTCAGGGGGTGGCTCAGTGCTTAAAAGCCTGGTTGTTCTTCTAGAGGTTTTATTTGATTCTCAACATCCACACGACAGCTCACAACCGTCTGTATCTTTTGTTCTAGGGGAGCTGATGCCCTCTTCTGGCCTTCAAGGGCACCCACACTCACTGCACACATGCATATCCAAACAGACACAGACACATACTGTATATAATTTTAGCCAAGGCACCAAACTTGTGATAATAAAAGTGGAATGAGTCTCGAATCCAAAACTGGGCTCATCAGTGAAGACGAATGAATGAATGGATGAAGTATGAAAGCAGCCGCAGTGAGGTCACTAATCTAATGAGACATACCAGACCTGCTGTGATGGTCAGAACGGAGTTGGTCTGGTAGAGAGGGAAAGATAACACAATGTAAGACAGGCCAGGATGATAGAGGCCATGTAGAATTAGATAAAGATTTTTTTTTCAAGCACGGGGACATGGGGATGGATAGGTCAGGGAGTGAGGTTGTTAGAGACTGCTACAGTGGTTTAGCTGAAGGAGAATGTTGCATGAACTCCTAAGACTGCCTCTGTCACCGATTCTTCTATGAATCTGGTCAACTCAACATTTTCATTTCTAGGCTTTCTTATATATAAAATAATTCCAATCATTACCTCACGAGGTGGTGGGAAGTTCTAAGTTATTTTATAAGGGTAAACTCTGTGGAATAATGCATGACAGAGAGGCTGTCCAGGGCCAGTATACACCAGCAGTTGCCACCCATGGAGGACAAGGAGTGTGGACAGAGTGGAGAGCTATTTAGGTCAAGTCAGCTGAATCGGATGATGGCTTGTGCACATGGTCTTATTGCTGATTTCTGGAGCCCAAGGTGGTGTCTATAAATGTGTGTGAGCCTCACATACTAGATTACGAAGATGTGTGTATGTAAAACTAGAGGCAGTATCTACCCAGCCATGGAAGTGAGTGTTGAGCTGGGCCTCAAAGAAAAGGTAGCATTTGAACATGTAGAAAAAGGGTCAGTAACCCTGACAAAGGGCTCTTCAGTTCCCCAGACTGATTAAGTACTACTTCATCTGAGACGGCTTTGCCATCTTGCTTTGATAGAGTTCTTAGTCTGAATTACAAATCTCTGACACTGAATCATCCATTGCCCCTGACTGGGAGGGTGAAGATTCACCTTCCTTGCCAAGCTCACAAACTCAGAATATTGTCCTAGTCCTGAAGAGAAAAATTGGACTTAACCCATGCTGAAACAGGAGCATGGGTTTCCTAAAATGATTCATTCGTGCCCAAGTATCACAGGATTATCCTCTGATTTCCTGCAGTCTTGAAAATCGTTTTCTCCATCCAACCTGTTCATGGCAGTGGTTGGAGAGGTGGCTCAGTGAGTAAGAACTATTTTCCCAAGTTCAAATCCCCAGCACCCATATAAAAATGTGGGCATCACTATACATGCCTGTAACCCCAGCATTGGGGTTGGGGTGGGTAGAGATAGGCAGATCCTGGGAGCTTGCTGACCAGTCCAACTAACCCAAAGAGTGAACTTCCAGTTAAGTGAAAAGCCCTGTCTCAGACAATGGAATGGAAATCAATCAAGGAAGATACAGCCTCTTCTAGCACACATGGAACATGCTCCCATTTACTTGCATGCAACACTTACATAACACATACACACACACACCACACACACACTACTGCACACACATTCATACAAAAAGTATTGTGACGAAAGCTTGG